TCGAGCTCGGCGACGCGCAGGCGCGCGGCGTCGCGCTCCTGGGCCAGCGCCGTGCGCTCCTCCATGCGCCGCACGGTGTCGGAGAGCGTCGCGACGGACGTCACCAAATCGCCGACGCCGCCACTACCGCCGAGCCCGAGGCGCGCGGCCTGGAGCCGCGCGTCGCGCGCGTGGCGGTCCGCGTCGAGGGCCCAGCGCTCCGCGCGGCCCGCCGCGAGATCCTCCCACTGGAGCGGGTTCGCGACGGCGCCGTCGTCGCGGTACGACGCCGGCGGCGGGTTGCCGTAGGCCGCGACGGGGTTCGCCATTTCCTGCGCCGGCGGCGCGAGGTAGCCCTCGAGGGCGCGGTCCACGGCGCCCCAGGCGCCCCAGCGCTGGTCCACGGGCACGGGCGGGCCCCACCAGGCGTAGGGGTCCGGCGGCGCCAGGGGCAGCGTCGCCGGCTGCCAGGCGCCGGGGCTCGGCGCCTTCTCCCAGGCGCGGTCGCCCCACTGGTGGGCGGCGTACATGGCGACCGCGGGCGCCGCCAAAGGGCAGCCGACTATCAACCGTCGCGCGGCGGCAACGTTCGGGGCTGCCGTGCGAGATAATTGGCAGCACGCCGGAAGCGCTCGTCGTTTATGCAATGAGATTTTGAATTATTAGTGACGTTGGTAACGGCTTTGAACGCGATAATTGAAGTTACTTGAACTCCGGAAGCTCACAACAGGAGCCTGCACCCCGCCGCACCGAGCCGTCGTCGAGGCACGCGTTGCCTGCTCCCAACGCAATGCGGCTCGCCCTCGCCTGCCTCGCGATCGCATCCGGCCATGCCTTCCGCGCGCCCACGTCGACCCTGCGCCCGACGCGGTCCTGGGCGGCGCCGAAGCGCCCGACGACGGCCCTCGCCGTCGCCGCGGACGCCGGCGCGAGCGACCGCCAGCTCGGCGTGCGCGTCGGCGGCGCGTTGGCGCTCTGCGGCCTCGACGAACTCTGCCGCGTCGCGTTCCGGGGCACGGGCCTGCCGCACAGCCTCGCGGGCGGCGCGGCGCTCGTCGCCGCGCTCGTCGCCGGTCGCGGCGCGGGCGAGCGGGCCCACGCCGCGGTCCTCGCGCCCGGCGCGGCCCTGGTGCTCGCCTGGATGCCCGTCTTCTTCGCGCCGTCGCTCGTCGCGCTGCCCCTCGCGGCGCCCGTCGTGTCCAGTCCCGCGGACGCCGCGAGGCTCGCGGCGGTCGTCGTCGGCGGCCTCGCGCTGTCCCTCGCGTCGACGGCCTGGATCGCCGGCCGCTTCGACGGCGCGCCGCCGGCGCCCCAACAGGCCGTGGCCGCCGGGCGGCCGGGCGTCGCCTTCGGGACGCCGCTCCGGGCGCCGCTCTGGGTCTTGGCGGCCGCGGGCGCGGCCGGCGCGGTGGCCACGGAGCTCCGCGCGCCGCTCCCGCTCCGGGCCTGCTTCGTCGGCGCGACGCTCGCGAGCTTCGTCTCCGGCACGCGCCTCACGAAGGCGCTCGCCGCGTCGGACGCGAAGGCGTTCAAGGTGGCGGCGAAGGCCCTCCACCCCGTCGCGGTCTGCGCTGTAACGACGTCCGCCGTCGCGCGGCTCGTCGCGCGCCTCGCCGGCGCCGACGCCGCCGGCGCGTTGCGGGCCTACGTGGCCCTCTGCGGCGCGCCGCTCCAGCGCCTCCTGGGCCCGTCCGTGCTCGCGCTCGCCGTCGGCGTCTACGGGCGCCGGCGCGACGTCGCGGCGAACTGGAAAGCCGTCGCGGCGACGACGGCCGCGGGCGTGGGCGTCGGCCTCTACGGCACGGCGCTCCTCGCGCGCGCCGCCGGGCTGCCGCCCGCCGCGCGGCTCGCCCTGCTGCCGCGGTGCATCACGAGCCCGCTCGCGATCGCCGTCTGTACGTCGCTCGGCGAGGACCACGCGGCGGCCGTGGCCCTCGTCGTCGTCACGGGCGTCCTCGGCGCCGCGGGCGGGCCGCCGGCGTTGACCGCGCTCGGGGCGACGAAGCCGCTCCCGCGCGGCCTCGCGATGGGCGCGGCGGCCCACGGCATCGGCACGGCCCAGATGGGCAGCGAGCCCGAGGCCCAGCCCTTCGCCGCCATCGCCATGTCCCTCGTCGGCGCCGCCTCCGTCGTCGCCGCGTCCCTCCCGCCGACGCGCGCGGCGCTCCGCGCGGTCGCCGGCGTCTAGACTTCAATGAAGCTTCAAGAAAAGCTCCTTGTGGAGTCCTCGTGGCAATTAATTCGCATCGATGGACAACTCCCGGTAGTGAAAAGCATGACGGCCGCGACCCGGGACAGGCTCGCCATCTTCGCCGCCGGCGCGGCCTCCGCCGTCGCGCTGCGCGTCCTCTACGACGTCGCCGCGTCGCGCTGGCGCTCCGTGCCCTACGCCTGGCAACAAACGGCGAGTGTCGGCGACGTCCTGCGCTGCGCGCTCCTCGGCCCGCGGTCCCTCTACGGCGGCAAAAAGGCGGCGGTCTACGCCGACCGGCGGCGCGTCGCCTGCCCGGCCCAGTCCGTGTCCTACGGCAACACGGACCCGCTGCTCCTCGTCGCGGGTCGCGGGTCGCGGCTCGAGGACGAGGCGGGTCGATGCTTCCTCGACAGCCGCAACAACGTCGCGCACGTCGGCCACGCCAACGCGCGCGTCGCCGCCGCCGTCGGTGCCCAGGCCGCGGCGCTCAACACGAACACGCGCTACCTCCACCCGAACCACGCGGCGCTCGCGAAGAAGCTGCTCGCCACGATGCCGGCGCCGCTCCGCGACGGCGTCGTCTTCTTCGTCAACTCCGGCAGCGAGGCCAACGACCTCGCGCTGCGCCTCGCGCGCGCGCGCGTCCGGAACCTGCGCGGCGTGGACGCGACCTGCGGCGTCGTCGTCCTCGAGCGGGCCTACCACGGCCACACCGCCGCGGCGCTGGGCTGTGTGGAAACCAAATCTTCGACCCGACTTCAATGTGCGCGTATGCGACCGTTTCGACACAAGCATCTTGGCTGTGCTTCGAGAACTCGATGAGAGCAATCGATCCGTCCAAAAATCAGCCGAATCGACTTCGAATTGATCGAGCTAGAGAATTTCAAAAGTTTGGGCGGGACCACCCGAACCAGTGGTTGAATTCGGCACAGGTGCTGGGCCTCTCGCCCTACAAGTACGGCCACGCGTCCTTCGGACCGCCGCCCGGCGCGCGGCCGCCCCACGTCGCCGAGGCGCTGGCGCCGGACGCCTACCGGGGGCCGGGCCTCGAGGCCGCCGTGAAGTCCGCGGAGGCCGCGTGCGACGACCTCGAGGCGCGCGGCGCCGCGGTCGGCGCGTTCTTCGTCGAATCCGGCATGTCCGTCGCGGGCGTCGTCGTCGCGCCGCCGACCTACATGGCCCGGGTCTACGCCGCCGTGCGGTCCCGCGGCGGCGTCTGCGTCGCCGACGAGGTGCAGACGGGCCTCGGGCGCCTCGGCGAGCGGTTCTGGTGGGCCTTCGAGGAGCACGGCGTCGTCCCCGACGCCGTGACCGTGGGCAAGCCCTTCGGCAACGGGTTCCCGCTGGCGGCCGTCGTCGCGAGCCGGGAGCTCAGCGACGCCTTCGCGGCCGGGCCCGAGTACTTCAACACGTTCGGCGGCGGCCCCGCGGCGTGCGCGGCGGGGCTCGCGGTGTTCGACGAGCTCGAGACCGGCGGGCTGCGGGCCAACGCGGACGCGAGCGGCGACGCGCTGCGGGCGGGGCTGGAGGCGCTGCGGGCGCGGGGCGCGACGCTGGCGCCGCCGGCGGCGGGCGCGCCGCGCGCGGTCGTCGGCGACGTCCGCGGCGCGGCGGGCCTCTTCCTCGGCGTCGACCTCGTGCGCTGCCCGGCGTCGCGCGAGCCCGCGACGCGCGAGGCGAGCCTGGTCTGCAGCCGCATGGTCGCGGAGCACCGCGTCCTCTCGTCCCTCGACGGGCCCCACGACAACGTCATCGTCGTCAAGCCGCCGCTCGCGTTCTCCGTGCGCGACGCGGCCGCGTTCCTCTCCGCGCTCGAGGAGAGCCTCGCCTTCGTCAACGCGCTCCCGCCGGGCACGGCCTTCACCCACACGCCGACGTGAGCCGACCCCCGCCTAAGATCCTAGGACGCCATGGGCACGGAGGACCGCGGCGCGCCGCTCCCGCCGCCCTTGGACGGCCGCCGGCCCATGGCCGCGAGGAGCGACGCCGCGGCGCTCTCCTTCGGCGCCGCGTCGTCGCCCTCCGGCTCGCGCTTCGCCCGCGCGCGGGCGCCCAGGAGCTTCGCGGCCTTCTTCGCGGCGAGGACGGACGCGGCCGCGGCGCCGAGGCTCGCCTTCTTCGGCGGCTTGGCCGCCTCGGCCGCGTCGGCCCTGGCCGCCGCGGCCTCCTCATGCTCCGCGCGCTCGCGCTCCGCCGCGAGCGCCGCGCGGCGCCGCTTCTCCGCGGCCGAGGGGAACGCGTCGGCGACGCGGCCGAAGAGGTCGATGCACGACTCCGGCGGCGTCTCGTCGACGTCGTCGTCGACCGTGCGGTCGCCGACGCGGAGCAGCGCCTCGACGAAGCGCGGGAAGTCGAGGCGGCGCCACGCGTCGCTCGCGAGCTCGTCCGTCGCCGTCTTCGTCGCCCGCAAAAAGGCCACGTTCGCGTCGCGCTCCGTGAACCCCGCGTCCGCGTCGACGAGGTCCACGGCTTCGCAGAATTCGAGCCACTCCGCGAAGCACATGCGCTTGTCCTTGGACAGCTGGTCCTCGCGGCCGCTGTGGGCCTTGAACGCGCGCCGGAGCCCCTCGAGATGCTTCTTCGCGCCGTCCTCGACCTCCTCGAGCCAGACGCGGTCGTGGAACGCGTCCGGCTCGTCGTCGGGTTTGACCAAATACGACATGCGCTCCGCGAGCTTGGCGATCGCGGCGGCCGCGTCGGGGACCTCGCCCGGCTTGAGCCACCGCGCGAACGCGATGCGGCCCGCGGCTTCCAAAAATTGGAAGCGGCACAGCGACTTCTTCGGGTTCAGCGGGCCCTTGGGCCCCGTCGTGCACGCGCCGAAGAAGACCATGTCGTTGTCGGCCTTGCCTGGGCAGCACAAGGGTGCGAAATTCCCAACTTCAAAGGCTCCGATCTCGGCCGTTTTCCACTCGTGTCGGCTGATTTTTGGACGAGCGATCATCTCTCGGAGCGCTCTCGAAGCGTGGGTACTGTTTTCGAAACGCGCGCGCGCGGAACACTCACGTTGAAGCGACGTTGAATCACCCTTGTGCTGCCCTGGGCCTTGCGCAGGTTGCCGGACTTCATGACGCCGCAGTCGTCGACGTACTCCGTGAAGTCGTTCCAGCCCAGCGTGAAGAGCGCCTTGGACTGGGCGCAGTAGTCGCGGAACATGGTGCGGAACCATGAGTAGTGCTCGCGGCACGCCTCCTTGCACGCGGCCGCCTCCGCGTCGCCGCCGCAGTGCCGCGCGAGATTCGCGCGCTCCCAGTCGAGCTCGAACGCGTCGCCGCAGTCGCCCTCGTGGCAGGGCGCGAACATGGACCGGCGCCAGGTCCAGACCTCCTTGGCCTTGACCTTCTTGGCCCGCTGGAGGGGCTTGAAGTCGACGTCGCCGTCGTCGCGCGGCGGCACCTGGGCAGCAAAAGGGTGATTCAACGTCGCTTCAATGTTAGTGTTTCGCGCGCGCGCGTTCAGAGAAAAACATCCACGCTTCGAGACCGTTCCGAGAGATGATCGCTCGTCCAAAAATCAGCCGAAACGAGTAGAAAACGGCCGAGATAGGAGCCTTTGAAGTTGGGAATTTCGCTCTCTTGTCCTGCCCTGGGCGGCACGAGCCGCCGGTTCACGACGCGGCACGGCGGGTCGCCCTCGTCGGCGAGGCGCCGGCCGATGACCGTCGGCGCGCTGCGACTGGCGACCTCCTTGTCCTGGTCGTAGGCCGCGTTCTGGTGCGGGAAGTCCTGATCGCCGAGCGCGAAGCAGTACTGCCGGTCGCCGGGCGGCGCGAGGCGCCAGCACTCGTACTTGGCGCCCGCGCGGCCGCAGGGCACCCGCGCCCAGCCGTCGAAGGCGCACCTCACCTGCACGGCGAGGCGATTCGACGCCGCGGCGTCCCGCGCCTTGGCGCCGCCGTCGAGCTCGACGTCGCTCCGGCCGGGCGCCCAGACGAACTTCGTCTCGCGCCAGCGGTCGCAGATCCAGCAGGCGAGGCCGCAATTCCAGTCCGGCGACTGGGGCACGTGCTTCGTGCCCAGGACGCGCGTGTAGACGCGCGCGTCGCCGACGACGGCCGGCGGCGGCGGCGCGAGGAACGGGCCGTCGAAGGTCCGGAAGTCGTTGCCCTCGAGGTGCAGGCCCGCGAGCGCCTGCGTGGAACTCGAATCTTCGACCCGACGTCAATGTGCGCGTATTCGAATGTTTTGATATGAGCCAATCCACTGTGCTTCGAGATCTCGACGAGAGCGATCGATTCGTCCAAAAATCAGCCGAATCGACTTCGATTTGATTGAGCTAGAGAATTCTGAAGTTTGGTCAGGACCACCCAAACCAGTGGTTGATTCGCACGCGGGCGAGCGCCGCGTTGCCCTGGACGGCCGCCTCGATGGCCCGAAGGTCGTCGCCGGCGAGCTGGTTGTAGCGCAGGTCCAGGTGCAGCAGCGCCTCGTTTTTGAGAGTTTTTTCGCAGAGCGCGGCGACGGGCGCGCCGCCGTTCGAGTCGTCGGTGCGGAGCGCGTTCCAGCCCAGGTCGCAGGTCGCCACGTTCGAGCCCCCGAGCCCCGACGCGAGGGCCGCCGCCCCCTCGCCGCCTAAACCCGTCCAGGCGAGGCGCAGCGTCTTCAGCGTCACGAGCGACCCGCCGTCGAGCGCCTCGCCCAGGTCGCGCGCGACGGCGTTGCCGAGCGCGTTCCGCGACAGGTCGAGCTCGGAGAGCCTCAGGGCCGCGTCCCGGTCCTTCCAGGCGGCCATGAGGGCCGCGCCCGCCCGCGAGCTCAGGGCGCAGTTGGCCAGCCGCAGCGTCAGCAGCGTGCCCGCGGGCGTCGACGCCTCGGCCGCGACGAGTTTCGCGAGCGCGTCCGTCGCCGCGCGCGACCGGAGCCGGTTGTCGCTCAGGTCCAGGCTCTCGAGCCGCGAGCAGCCCGCCTCGAGCGCGCCGCAGATCGCACCGACGCCGGCCGCGGCGAGCCGGCAGCCGCGGAACGACACGGCGACCGGGTCGGCCTTGGCCGCGGGCCCCGCGAGCGCCGACGCGAGGCCGTCGCCGACGCTCCGCTTCGACACGTCCACGGCCGGCCGGTCCGCGGTCGCGAGCGCCGTGAGCATGGCCGTGATGCCCGGCTCGGGCACGAGGTCGAGCGCCTTGCAGTTCTGGTAGTAGAGCTCGGGCGGGCCCCTCCGCCAGCCGTGGACGGACCGGCAGCGCGGGCCGATGGTCATGACGCGGCCGTCGTAGTAGGCGACGTCCCGCGGGCTCGGGAGCTTGCCTGCGTGGAAATCAAACTGGGTCATCCCGACGAACGTTCGGAACTCTCGAGCTCCGTCACATCGTCGGCTGATTTTTGGACGACTCTATCGCTCTCGTCGAGTTCTCGAAACACAGCCAAGGCGTCCGGCGCCCTCCGTGCAATGACGCGCACATTGAAGTCGGGTTGAAGCTTTCCACGCGGGAGCTTGCCCTCGCGCTGCTCGCGGCGCTCCGCGCGCGTGATGGACCCCGCGCGGCTCAGCACGCTCCGGCCCCGGTCCTCCGGGTCGACGTCCTCGCGCATGAAGAAGGCGCCCGCGGCGCGCTCGAAGGGCCAGTCCTCGACGCCGCCCGTCGCCTTTCGGCTCGCGGCGTCGAGGTCCGCGCCGTCGGGCAGCGCGGCGTCCTCGGGCACCGTCGTGGTCGACGGCCGCTTCGGGGACTTGGCGCTGCCCTTGCGCGACTTGAGCGGGCTCGCGCCGCGCCTGTCGCGCTCCTCGGAGCCCGGCGGCGTCGCGATCGCGACGCGCTTGGGCGTCTTCGGCGTCCGGGACCCGTCGCCCTTCGTCGGCGACGCGTTGAGCTTCGGCGTTTTTGATGGTGTTCGGTTCGGCGACCGGGGCACATCAACAACGGCGACGGACTTGCGCGGCGAGCCCGCGCCGACGTCGACGCGGACGGCGTCGTAGCGCTCGAGGCCGCGGCCGCGCGCGCTCCGTTCTAACACCTTGGCGAAGGACCGCTCGACGACCTCGGCCGGGGGCACGAGCGGCTCGAGGCGCGCCAGGGTCTGCGCCGACGCGAGGGCCGAGTTGCGCGACACCGCGCGGTTCAGCGGGCTCGAGAGGCCGCCGAGGTCGAGGGGCCGCGGGCCGCCGCCGTCCGGGAGCCGCGCGCGCCGGGCGACGGCGTGCTCGGGGTGGCGCAGCGCGTCCGCGTGGCGCAGGTAGGCGAGCGCCGACGCGCTCGCCGACGTCGACAGGTAGGGCGACTGGAGGCCCTTCTTGCTTCTATATTTGCGCGTCGCGCTCCGGGCCTTGCGTTTCACGTCGTCGAAGACGTTGGACTCCGACTCCTCGCGCGCGGACCGGAGGATGGACCGCGTGTTGGACCGCGCCAGCGGCGGCGGGCCCATGGGAGGACCGACGCGCGTCCGGGGCGCGCTAGATGCTCGGGGCTGCGCGTTCCATCGAGCAGATCATCGTTGGAAAGCCGGACGCGCCGGCATCATCGGCATGGTGCGGCCTGGTCGCAATTCCTCGCAAGTTTTATGCGTCCCGGTCCGCCCCGGGGCGCCCCTCCCGGGGTAGTTCCCGAGGGGCCCAGGTCCTTAGGGCCGGGGCCTATTTCCTCAGGACGTCGAACCAGTTCCCGAACCGGCTCGCGTCCGGGTCGTACTCCTTGGGAGCGACCTCCTCCTCCTGCGCCGCTTCGCGCTTCGCGGCGACCTCCTCCTCGCTCACGATGCCGTCGTTCTTCGCGACCTCGAGGAAGTCGTTGGCCGCGCGGCGCGCGCGGAGGCGCTCGCCGAGCGCGTCGAGGCTCGGGCGCGGCGGCGCGTCGCCGTCGTCGGCCTGCGCGCGCCGCGGGCTCGCGCGCGGGGCGGCGCGTGCACGGGCCGGGCGGGGACGCGCGCGCACCGAGGAGCGCAGCGCCGGCGCCCGTCGCGGCGCGCATGCCGCGCGAGCGGGCGCGCCGCTGCTGAAGGCGTGGGAGAAGAAGACGCACGAGGCCATGAGGAAGGCGCGCATCACGTCCGATGGCGCGGCCGCGGGCTCGGGAAGGGTCTCCTAGTCGCTCGGCTGGATGCGCGTGCCGGCAGAGGCAGAGGGTGAGAGGCGCTCGGCCAAAGGTTGATCATGAAGTGCAAGGGAGGGCAAACGAGCCACTTCAAGCTTCGGCAGCCCCAGTCGGGCTTTGGGTTTTTATCATCCATCGTAGCCAGGCGATCGGGCGCGCGTCCTCGCGCGCCATCGGCAGCCCATCCGGCTCCGCGCCTTTGTCCGGCGGTCCGGCGGCCGCGCCGCGACGTCCGCCGCGCGCCGCGCGCGCCGGGCGCCCTCGCCGCGAGCCGGCGCGATGCAGCCCGGCGCCGGCGCCTGGCGGCAGCCCGGGGGCGCCCGTGTCGGCGTCGCGGCGAGCGGCGGTGCGCAGACGACGCCGACGCGGGACAAGGCGGGCCGCGGGTCCCTGCGGTCGCCCGCGGAGCGCGTCGCCGCGGCGCCGGGCCGCGGCGCCGCGTCGCCCGGCCGCAGCGCGCCGGCGGCCGGCGCCGTCGCCGCGCTCGCGGCGGCCGCGGCGCCGCGGAGCCTCCTCGCGGGGTCGCCCCTCCGGACGAAGGCGTCGCGGTGCCCGCGCACGCCGCCGAGCCGCCCGTCGCGCGACGAGCGGACGCCGCGGCGGCGGCCGCGGCGGTCGCCGCCCGGCGCCGCCGCGGCGTCGCCGCGGGCCGGCGGCGGCGGCCTCGCGGGCTTCTCGGCGCTGCTGCGGTCGTCGCTGGCGGCGTCGACCTCGCGCGGCTCCGCGTGTCGTCGCCCGCGCGGAGTCCGGGCAAGCGGCGCCGGAGCGGCCGGCGGCCGTCGGAGACGGAAGGCAGCGACGACGACGTCTGCCTGCCCGAGGGCCGGCCGCCCTGGGCGTGGAGCCCGCGGCGCCAGACGCGGTCCGCCCTCGACCGGTTCCTCGCCTTCGAGTCGCCCGAGCCGGGGACGCCGCCGCGGCCCAGTTTTGTTGACACGCTGGGGTCGCCGCCGGCGCCGGACGCGACGCCCCGGGGCGCCGGCGCGCCGCGCGCGCCCCGGTTCGAGACGCCGCCGAGCCGGACGCGGCAGGGGAAGCACGCGCCGCGGGGCCGCGGCGGCGGCGCCGCGGCGCCGCGGCCCCGGAGCCGCCCGCCGCCGTCCTTCGACTCGGGCTCCGCGGGCTCGCCGCGCGACTCCCCGGGCGCGGCGGCCCAGCTCGCCATGCCGTCGCTCCTCGAGGGCGGGCCGGACCGCGACGGGCCGCGGCCCAAGGCCGCGGACCCCGTCGCCGCCGCGCTCCACCGCTCCGGCGCGGACGCCGCGACGCTCCGCTTCACGTCCGACATCAAGTCCGCGAGCGCCGGCACGGGCCACACGATCCTCAAGCCCACGGCGCGGCGCGCGCCGCCCCGGGACCTCTTCTCGTAACGCGATGAGGAGCAACATAACGAGGGATATGTTAGGAGCGCCCGCCGCCGTCGTCGGAGCTGCCGTCGCCGTCGTCGTCGGAGCTGCCGCCGTCGTCGTCGTCGGAGCCGAACGCGGCCCACGCGCCGCCGTCGCCGCCGCCCGCGCCGCCGCGCCCGGCGACGCCGCCGCGCGCGCGGAGCACGGCGGCCGCGAGCGCCGCGAGCGTCGCGTCCGCCGGCCCGGCCGCCGCCGGCGCCGGGCCGTCGTAGCGCACGCGCGCGTCCGAGACGTCGAGCCGGACGTCCGGCCCCGCGAGCCGCGACGCGAGCGGCGACGCGTCGGCGTCGTCGAGGAGCGCGGAGCGCCGCGGGTCCTGCGCCGCGAGCGACACCTCCGCCGCGGACCGCAGCGCGTCGTCCCAGCTCCGGAGCGAGCCGGACCGTTTCGCGCCGCCCGCGAAGACGGGCCCCGGGTCGCCCTCGCGGAACAGCGCCGTCAGCGCGAAGCGGCAGCCCGACGCGACGCGCTCGACGCGGTGGAGGTTCGACGCGTCGCCCGAGAACGCGAGCACGTCGCCGGCCCTGGGCGCGTGGACGCGGTCGCCGCCGTCGCCGTCGTACATGGCGAAGCGCCCGCCCTCGAAGTCGTCGCTCAGGTAGAGCAGCGCCGTGTGCTCGTAGGATTCGACGTTGAACTCGTCGACGTGCACGTTCCAGTAGGGCTTGGGCTTCGGGGCCTCGAACGCGCGGCGACGTCTCGCGGGGGCCGGCGGCCTCAGGCGCGCGACGAACGCGCCCGAGAGCCGGAGCCGCCGCGCGTCGATCCCGGCCGCCGCGCCGACGAGCGCGCGCAGGTCGCGGACGGCGCGCTCGATCGTCGCGGCGGCGTCGGCGCCGACGCGCGCCTCGAGCGCCGACGGCTCCAGGCAGCCGAGCACCGTGGACCCGCCGTCGGAGAACGCGCCGACCATGCCGACGGCGCAGCGCCGCGCGAGGTCCCGCGCGGCGGCCGGCGCGAGCGCGGGCGCGTCGGTGCGCACGACGCGGTAGCTGCGCCCGCGTCGTCGCGTCTCGAGGGGCGCCTCGAAGCGGTCCGGCGGCATCGACCGGTACAGCGCCTCGGCCCGCGGCTCGAAGAAGACCGGGTGCGCCGCGTCGGGCACGGCGGCGCGGCGGCGGCGGCGGGCGGGACCGCGGCGGCGGCGGGCGCCGCGGCGGCGGCGGCGTCGTCGCCGGCGAGCAGCCGGCCCGCGCGGTGCCGCTCCTGGAGCACGGCGAAGGCGACGAAGCGCTCCACGAAGAGGTCGTGGGCGGCGCCGGACGCGCCGGCGCCGTCCTCGATGGCCGCCGCCGCGCCCTCGATCGCCGCCTCGCGCTGGAACGCCGCGCAGCGCGCCAGGGCGTCGCTGCTGCTGGCGTCGCTGCTGCTGGCGAAGGTGGACATGGTGCTGTCTCAGCGCAGGCGCCGGCTCATTTTTAGCTCGGTTGTGGCCACCATTCGCATCATCATCCGATCGAGCTCGATGAGCTAATTATGAGCTCGCCCAAAAACTGCCACACGATGGAGATGATGGAGGTGCTTTGAGCTGGTGAGAGGTGCGCCTGTCGCGCGCGCAACACGCCGCCGCATCGCCGCCATGGCCCTCTTCTTCCGGCGCGCCGGAGCGCCGCGCGACGCGCTGGCGCCGGCGACCGCGGCGCTCGTCGAGGCCTGCGACGGCGACGCGTCGCGGCTGGCGCTGGCGGCGTCGTTCGTGGACGACTGCTGCGGCGACCTGGCCAACTTCCGCGGCGGCGGCGACGCGCGCGCGCACCTGACCTACGGCGAGATCGACGTGCCCTCGCTCGCGCGCGTGCTCCGCGCGGCCGAGGCGCTCCGGCCCGTGCGCCGTTTCGCGGACGTCGGCGCGGGCCGCGGCGCCGCGCTGCTCGCCGCGGCCGCGCTCCTGCCGGACGCGGCGGCCTGCGCGGGCGTCGAGCTCGACGCCGTCGCCGCGGCGGCCGCCGCCGCGGCGCTCGACCGCGCGGCGGACCACGCCTTCCGGGGCTGCGTCGCGGCCGACATCTCCGTGGCGCGCGCGGACGCCCTCGAGGACCGACGCTGGGGCGGCGCGGACCTCGTCTACTGCTGCTGGACCGCGTTCCCGGAGGACCTGCGGCGCGCCTTCGCCGCGGCCTTTGGGGCGGCCGTCGCGCCGGGCGCGGTCCTCGCCGTCACGACGCACGCGCTGCCCGACGCGGCGCCCTTCCGCCTCGAGGCCACGCTGAGCGTCGCGTGCTCCTGGGCGCCCGACGTGCCGTGCTACCTCTATAGGCGAACCTAGGTCGGCCGGCCGGCGACGGAGGCGAGGTTGACGCAGTAGCGATTGCCCGACGCGTCCGGGAGGTTGTGGCCGAGGTGCGTGCCGTCGACCTGGGCGCGCGGCGGCGTCGGGGGGCGGCGGGGCCGCGCGCGTCCCCCCCATCGAGCGCCGCGCCGGAGGACGCGCGGAGACGCACTCGCCGTCGAGCAGGCAGCGGACGTTGTCCCACCGCACCTCGTCGTCGCGGAAGCTCGGCCAGCCGTGGTCCGCGCTCTCGCGCACGAACGCGTCCCAGGACCGGCCCCGGGGCGCGACGAAGAGCGGCTTCCCCGTGACGCTGTCGTAGAAGGTCTCGTCGCGCGCGCCGGCGGAGAGGAACCTGGGCAGGAAAAGAGTGCGAAATTTCCAACTTTGGAGGCTCATATCTCGGTCGGTTTCCACTCGTTTTGGCTAATTTTTGGACGACCGATCATCTCTCGGAGCGCTCTCGACGCGTGGATGTTTTTCCGGAACGCGCGCGCGCGGTTACTCATGTTGAAGCGAACTTGAATCACTCTTTTCCTGCCCTGCGAGGAACGCGGTCTCGGCCCAGCAGCCCTTGCGCTCCGCGCCGGG